GGTGGCTACTGGGCAGGCAAATGTTTAGGGAGTGCTGATTGTTTGAGTGGCTGCAAGCCTGCAAGGCACGCATATGCTATAGCGCAACCAGAAATGATGGGCTTGATGAAGGAATTATTGGGTGAAATTCTGTGGCCTGTGTTATGCATATGGACAGATGACAATGTCATAATGGCCCCTTCTGACCTTCAAATCTTATATAGCTTTTGAAAGAGAGATAAAAGTCAGATCCTGACCCCCCGAGTTTACTAAAAATCCCATGGCTAGAGCCCTGTGCGGATACAAACTTTGTGTCTGCATCCAATCCATGATCCACAAACAGGGTCTGTGGATATAAAGTGGATATCTTCAGATTTGCAGGGCTCTACCCATGGCATTTTGTGTCTAATCTAAAAACTTCTGTGGTGACTGAAGAACTAGTGAAATTATGGTTTCATCTAAAGAGATAAGACTGAAAGCTGAGCTGCTGAGAGGACAAGGGATTTTAAGACAGACTTTTAAAAAAGTTTTATGTTTTTGTTTTGTATTTCACACTATTTATCTCCCAGTGCTTAAGGAAAAGCATGTCTTTGTTTAAGATTCAGCATCCTCGCCTCTTCAGTTTATCTGTCATAAAGAAGGGAAAATTGTAGATGAAAATTTCCTAACTCAAAAAGTGTTGCATCCAGCACATTACATCCAGCCTGGGGGAATTCTATATAAGACCTCTTCTTGACAGATAAAGAAGAATTTCTCAGAATTAAAAATTAATGGTTCCTTAGGTACCAGTGATTGTGACTTGATCATATTTACAGAATACGGTCCAGTAATATATGTATTTGACGCTTTAAAAGGTCACATTCACAAATCTGAAAACAATTATGAGCCAGATCAGGTGGAAGGAAGAATTTAAACAGAAAAATGTGAATGATAATTGAGAATTATTCAAGAACCCTTTACTAAATGTCCAACATACCACAATCCAGGAAGAAGGCTGTATTGGTTAAAAAAACAAACTAGTGTAGAGGGGAAGCAAAAGCAGCTATAAAAGAATGGAAGAAAGGGGAAGTTGATAGACATGTATATAAATTAGAAGCTAGGAATTGTAGAAATTTGATAAGGGAAGAGTTAAGGACAATAAGGAATTCTTAAATCATATTAGGAACAAAAGGAATCCTAACAATGGTATTGTTCCTTGACTAGATGTAAGTGGTAGAATTGTCAATTATAAAGCAGAAAATCCAGACGTGTTCCATAAGTATTTTTGTTCTGGATTTGCGGGGGGTGTTGGTGAATCAGATGTATTCATCATGAGAACTGGAAGTTTTAAGAAGAGACTTTATTAAGGGCACAAGAGCCAACTATCCCAGTGTGCAGGAAAGACAGGAAGTATGGTAAGTGATCACTCAGGGTTAACCAGGAGATCTTCAGTGACCTGAAACTCAAAAAAGAGTCATACAAGAAGTGGAAACTAGGTCAGATTACAAAGGATGAATATGAAAAAACAACACAAGCATGTAGGGACAAAATTAGAAAGAGCAAGGCACAAAACAAGATTAAACTAGCTAGGAGCGTAAAGGATAATAGGAAAATATTTTACAAATATCTCAGAAGCAAGAGGAAGACCAAGGACAGAGTAGGCCCATTACTGAATGAGGAAGGAAAGACAATAGCAGAAAAAGCAGCAATGGCCAAAATGTTAAATGCCCTTTTTTGTTTCAGTTTTCACCCAAAAGGTTAGCAGTGAGCAAATGACGAGCATAGTCAACGTCCCTGTAAATGGGGTAGGGTCTGAGGCTAAAATAGGGAAAGAATGAGTTCGCCTTGGTCTACGCTAGTAACATGTTGTGAACAATCCACATCCTTGAGCAACGCAGTTCTACTGACCTAACTCTGGGGTAGACAGCGCTGTGTTGATGGGAGGGCTTCTGTAGCCTCTCGGGGAGGTTGATTACCTGCACTGACAGGAGAAGCCCTCCCATCGGCCTATGTAGCGTCTTCACTGAAGCGCTAGAGTGGTGCAGCTGCAGCCTTTTTAAGTGTAGCCAAGTCCTTAAGAATTATTTAGACAAGATGTTTTCAAGTTGGCAGAGCCTGGCAAAATACGTCCTACAATACTTAAGGAACTGTCTGAAGAGATCTCTGAGCTATTAGCGATTATCTCTGGAACTTGTGGAGGACAGGAGAGATCCCAGAGGACTGGAAAAGCGCAAGTGTAGTACCTATCTGTGAAAAGGGAAATAAGGGCACCCCAGGGAATTATAGACCAGCCAGCTTAACTTTGGAACTCAGAAAGATAGTGGAGCAAATAATCAATTTTTACTCTCCTAGGGCAGTGGTTTTCAAACTTTTTTTTCTGGTGACGCAGTTGAAGAAAATTGTTGATGCTGCGACCCAACGGAGCTGGGGATGAGGGGTTTGGGAGGGACTCAGGACTGGGCCAGAGGGTTGGTATGTGGAAATGGGGCTGGGAATGAGGGGGTCAGGGCTCTGGGGTGGGTGTGCAGGCTCTGGGGTGGGTCTGGGGATGAGGGGTTTGGAGTGCAGGAGGGGACTCCGGTTTTGGGGGGTTCAGGGCTGGGGCAGGGGATTGGGGCGCGGGCTTACCTCGGGCGGCTCCTGGTCAGCGGCGCAGAGGAGGTGCTAAGGCAGGCTTCCTGCCTGTTCTGGCACTGTGGACGGTGCCCCAGAGATGGCCTTTCTGAGGTATAGCATAGGGGCGGTCTCTTAAAACCAGTAATTGATAAAGTACAAGCTCTAACCACATGGCTTGTCCTCCAAACAAAAAGGCAAGTGAAGCAGTTCTTGGGCCTGCTGGGATATAGTAGAGGTTTATCTCTAACTTCACTTCACTCATGGCTCTCTAACAGACCTTATAAAAAGACAGTAACCCCAGAAAACTCCAGTGGGATGGGAATTGTGAAGATGCTTTTAACACATTGAAGCCCCGCCTGTCAGTTGCCCATGGTTTTTCATCTTGACTTTTTGCAAGAATTTATATTACATACAGATACAGATGCCTCAGATATAGGAGAGAGCCCTGTGCTTTCACAGGACTTTGCAGGTGAGCAGTACTCGGTCCTATATTTAAGTAGAAGATTGCTCACTGGGGAGAGGGCCTTTTCAATTATCCAAAAACAAGCACTGGCAATTTAAGTGATTTGTAGATTTTCTCAGTACTACCTGCTGGGTAATCCCTTCTCATTGATCACTGACCATGCCCCCGGCATTAGTTGGATACCACGAAGGACTCGAACCCACGTATAATGCAGTGGTACCTGGCACGTCAACCTTATAGGTAAAGATCATATTTTTCAAGGTAGGTCGGAGACGCAGACACTTTGAACCAGGAACTGCTTCCCATTTTGACGGATGGAGCATGTGATAGGGCACACCTTAATCCCAGCCAGGAAAAGGATAATGCGGTCCTCTGGGCTCAGCTGACACTAAATAGGCATATGTGCAGAGCCTCTCCACTGGGAGGAGATGAGCTTAAAAGGGAGACAGTCACAGGAAGGGGTGGCAACCAGGAGGGAGACTGCTGTGCTTCAGAGTTTGCTGATTCCTGCAACAAAGCTGCTGGGAGGAAGATCGCTTGTGAACCTCTGCTGCCTATAAGAGCCCACCAGAGCAGGCCCGAGCTGATTGCAGCATGGTGGGGTTGAAGATAAGCCCTGACCTGGAGTCTAGCTGTATTTAACCTTCATAGGCAAGCTAGGCCTCTATAGACTCTCTTGAAACACTCAGAGACCGAGTGTCCCCATAATTGTAAGGACTTTTAAAGGAGAAAGGGTTCTCCAAATACCCAAATGGGCAGAGGCGTAGCGAGCGTCCTCCGTGCCCTCCGACCGGAGGGGGCCCCGCAAGGAAGGGGGCCCCTAAAAGTGGCAAAATAAATACCGCATTCCAGTTTCTGCATTGTAAGGGGCCCGCCTGGACATATGTTCGGAGGGGGCCACGTTCGGAGGGGGCCACGTTCTTTGTTGCTACGGCCCTGCAAATGGGACCTACAAAAACCCAGCTTATCACAGGATGACTTGATCACATTCGATAAGTACCTACATGGGGAACAGAAATTGGATTATACTGTAGATTCCTCTTCAGTGTAGCAAACAGAGGTCTAACGAGATCCAGTGGCTGGGAATTGGAGCTAGACAAATTCAGACTAGAAATAAAGTAAAATTATTTTATACCTCAACAACATCCCCCAGCAATGGGGCATTATTATTAACTATTCATGATTTGTTTTAAATAATGTGAATTCTGGCTGTGTCTACATTTTGTGAGTGCTGTCAGCAAATGCAGGCATGCACAGAAAGAGACAGTCCCTGGCCCAAACAGGATCAGCATTCAAATCCTTTTTTTGTATGATGTAGATAGCAAGCTGAAGCTTCTCCCACTTTTCAACACATGTGAATCCTCTGGGTGCTCCAAGCATTAGACTTTTGCTGCGCTACACAGCTAAACAAATAAATAAATCCCATGCTGAACATGTAAGTGTACCTGTCGGTCAGGTTTCACATGTATAAATCATTTCTTTTTCATCAGCTAATCACCATCTGAGATTCTCTAACTTCAAACAGCACCCTCTTTTGCTAGATGCCTGTTATCGTCTGTAACACTGGGGAACAGTGGGCATGCGTATCTGACTGGTGAAGAAGTTCATGTTCCTCCTGATGGAACATAGCAAGGGGGATTACCTCCTTAAAACGAAAGAAAAATGCAAGAAACACATTGCAGTGATATGTAGTTCTCTGCCTTGTAATGGCAATGGGGGTATCGCTCAGAGTGACATCTGTAGGCCATAGATGCCGGACTGTGGTGTATTTGCCAGATGGCATGTGGTTCCTGCCCCAGTACACCTAAACGTACTCTGAAGGTATGGATTGATTCATATGCACATTAAAACGTAGAGTATGCAGCCTCTACATGATAAATGGGGAGAGGAAAGAGAAGCCTCTTGTAAACAATTCATGGATTTTTTTAAAAGGGGAAAATGAACTTGTACTCTTGTGTTACAGATTCAGTGGTTCTTTCCTTTGACTCCGTTGGACGTACAGTAGGCTCAGGTACAACATCCCCTTCTTCCCCCTCTATCTCCCTCACAAAAAGGCTTTTATTTAATTAGACTTGGTAGCCATGTTGGGAGGCAGATAACGAGTCAGATCTTGGTGCAGAATTACATTGAAAATTGGCTGTCTAACCAAACTGGCTAAAAATATCCCTTTGTTATGAGCACTGGAAATGTTAAGGGACTTACTGTGGCATGAGGTCTTGTCTACATTTGAAATGCTACAATGGCACAGCTGCAGGAATGCAGCTGCATTGCTTTAGTGCTTCAGTGTAGACACTACCTATGCCGATGGGAGGAATTCTCCCCTCAGTTCAGGTAATCCACCTCCCTGAGAGGCCTGTCTACACGGCGACTTAGGTTGGCTTAACTACATCGCTCAGGGGTGTGGATTTTTCACATGCCTGAGGGGCGTAGATGGGTTGATCTAATTTTCTAGTATAGGCCAGCCCTAAAACGTGAAACCACTTCCAATACTCAGGCCATGTCCACACTAGTACTTTTGTGGGTATAACTTACGTCACTCAGGGTGTGAAAAAAACACCTTCTGAGTGACATAAGTTACACTGACAGAAGCACCAGTGTGTACAGCCCGATGTCTGCAGGAGACGTTCTCCCGCCAACATAGCTACCGCTGCTCGTGGGGGTGGTTTAATGATGTCGATGGAGAGCTCTCTCCTGTCAGCATCGAGTGGCTATCTGAGCAAACTTGCAGCAGTGCAGCTGGCACCGCTGTGCTGCTGTGAGCTCGCTGCTGTAGATGTGAAGTCAGTCAGGCAGAGGAGCTGGGCGCACACAGTGAAGTTAATGGCCCAGTTGCTAGTGTGAAAGACATTGAATTGATGTTGCCCACTGACGGGAACAACGGTTTCATTCTGCCAGGAGAGGGTCTCAGCTGGACGTGCAATTGAATTATGTGAGGGAAGGGTGAGGAGGAATGCTCTGAGGAGGGAGGAGGGGAATTTCTATAGTTTCTCAAGCAGGGCTGTGATGTTGTTTTCTGCAGAGCTAAGCAGAGTTAATGAACCCAAGGGAAGCGTCTGGATGATCACATTCCTGTTGCCCTCTGAGTATGACCATGTGTATTACTGGCCATCACATAATTAAATTGAAGCAAAAAGCAAAATTGAAAGGGTCTTTTGTGCTTGGGCTGCTTCAGGGAACTAGTGAATATTAGCTTGGCTGTCTGCAGCACAACATGGTCTGTAGTTAGTGCACACTGCACTGAGGTAGACATTTCTATAGAGTAGCCACAACATTGGATAAAATTCACTTGACACAGTTATAGTTGTGTGTGTAAAGTACCTACGCAGGGGTTCTCAAACTTCATTGCACTGCGACCCCCTTCTGACCAAAAAAAAAATAAATTGCTACATGACCCCAGGAGGGGGAACCGAAGCCTGAGCCCCATCGCCCCAGGCGGGGGTGGGCCAAAGCTGAAACCCAAGGGCTTCAGCCCCCGGGGGGCCTGTAACCTAAGCCCCGCTGCCCAGGGCTGAAGCCCTTTGGCTTTGGCCCCAGGTGGTGGGGCTTGGGCTTGGGCCCTGGGCCCAGCAAGTTTAACACAACATGTCCTTTTATACCTGCTAAAAGTCTGACCTGATTCCCTTTCCTTTTCAAAAACGAAATGTGCTCCTGGATTTCTTTTGTCCAATACTCTTTCCTCCCAGGTTGGTAGGAATAGTTTGCTGCCTTCCAGCATGGTACTAGTCTTCTGCCTGTATGCGTATCAAACAGAGCCTGCTGCCTGGCACTATAGTGACGCTTGTGCAGAGAACTCAGAGTTATCCCGGCCTTGGTGTCATTAAGCCCGAAATGCATTCTGATGTTCTTTCATCATTCTCTGATCTGTCAAGAGTGCATGATCTGATTCAGGAACAGCTTAGGGTTGCTGGCACTGCGTGCAGAATGGAAATGACGCCAGTCGTCTTGGTGCTTTGCATTAACCCCTCCCCCAAACCCTGCCACACTAACTACTGTGCAGAGTTTTCTCTTGTACTAAAGGACAGTTTCTTTAATCCTCAGAAATGGGCAAGAATGGAAAAGGCTAAAAGTATATGAAATCTCTGGGTGAATTCAAAGGGGCATAATTCGATCTTGGTTTCCCCTGAATCTTTGCTTAGCTACTTACCGCTAATTCCATGGATAATTTGAGTTTGGCATACCTTTACAGAATCCTGATCGGTTACTCATCAATGTGGAGTTACAATATTATCTTTCTATGTGCCCGTTTTCTATGAATGGTAAAAATAGGAGCATTATCACCGGAATGGGGTGTTACAATTTGAGAGACGATAAATAATTAGAAATTTAATTTATTCATGAAAAAACAAATTCTCTTGATCAGTGTCTCTGAAGTCGTGTTTTTGTGAGGGGTGGGGAACAAGGCTAGTTGTAATCAGGCTGGCTCGCTGGGACTATTTGAAGAGACAAGTCCCTGTCCTCTGACATCTCAGGGAGAGCAGTTGGAGTCAGTAAAACACCCGTCTGTAACTCCATCTCCCCTAACAAAATCCAATTTCTCCCTTCTTATTATGAAGCAACCTGCTACTCAGGAGAGAGGGGCTGAGAAATGCCCAAGAGAATAGGTTTTCCAGAGATCTGTGTGCTAAATTGCCCTTGTATTAAAACCCTTGGATTTATTATACTGCAAATTCTAGCTCATGCTGAGAATTGAGACATCAGTCTGTGTGTGGTCTCTGCCCACTGAGGGATAGCTTTCCTTGTTAAACAGGAAGGAGAGAGAGAAAAACTGTGACTCTTGTTCTTCCGCCGTCCATCCCATCACACCTTGCTGTGAACCCAGGAACTGGCAGTGCCCAGAAAGAACCTATAGCCATTCCGAGTAGGTGTTGTTTCAGGTCGGGGTATAAAAGGGGGGAAAGTTGAGTATTTAAAAAAAAAAGTTTAATCAATTAATTATTCGAGATCAAGCTGTCAATCACATCATCATTCCTAGGATTTCATATTTGAAACAAGCACAAGGAAACTTTCTATTATTCCCTATCAGCTCTGTGTTCTTGGGGAACCAGGGCGCAGTGTCCAGCCTGTCTGACTCATGAAAGACCTACCCCCCCTCGCCCCAGCTTCTGCTTGAACCAAAGCCGATCAGAAGCAAGACTTACAAACAGCAATGAAAAGGCAGTGGAAGACTCACCTAAACCCCTCTGGACAAGGGTGACAGCTTGGAAGTGCTGCTTGACCCAGCCTGCTGAGTTGAGGGACATAAGGGGTCAGCTTGGTAGTGCTGATTAACTCGGTCCTCTTAGACGCACTCTGTTAATGGGTGTGGGTGTGTTTGTCTGATTCTGGGGCTGGAAGAATCCAGCCCTAGGGAGCCTAGGTCCTGCAGGATAGCTCCATTGGGAGGGAACTTGCAGAAGGGAGAAGTAGAGCTCCGTATGGGAACACAAGTGACACAAGCAGTACATTGATAGAATTACAGAAACCCCTCCCCCCCCCGAAGAGTAACCCTAATAAATGACCATACCCCAAAGTAATGGGCAAATCTGGTAACACTATTTACAAATGGGCAGACTGGGTACTTCGTTTAACCTTTTTGAAGTGCTCAACTATAACCACTAATTCACGTCTTTCCATGGCCAGAATAATTTTTTGAATTGACTGTAAGACTTCATCTTGGTTTTGTATTTACTGTTCTGCTTATATGCAATTCTCAACTTTCAGGGGTGCCGAAAGACTGCTGCACTATTAACTCTTCAGCAGGTGGAGGTCAGGGGGTAGTCAGGATAATACGGTGAAATGTGCAGAAGGATTGTCCGGCGGTCACTGAGCACCTAGCTATGATTGATTCATAGAATAGCATTGGCATGGAGCCTGTGGCTAGCTGATGTGCTGAGAGATGAAGGAGTGAGGTTTAGAAGTGTAAAAAGACATATGGCCCTAAATAAAGGGGGTCCCTGAGGCCACATCATGATCTTGTCTGATAGTTGGGGCTGGATGTTTCTGGGGTTCTCTGGCCCATGCATCAAAGATAAGATCTTGAGCAGCAAGGGAAGGTTCATGCTTTAGTCCTGGGTGTATTGTCTGGACCAGCTGTTTAGTTGGGGCCAGACATGATGATAACCCATGTTCTGAACTCTGGGGACTTCAAAGCAGAAAACAAAGTAGAGAGGGAGTTTGAGTGGAGCCTGGATCTCATTCACCTGGAATGGATGCTAAGTGCTTTTTTATAGTTGCTTTGTTTTACATTCAGATGCTGGCTACACCCACTTAGAGCTTAAAAATCACATTTATATCTCCACTAATTTTGTCCAAGAGGTTGTTGGGTTTTTTTTCTGTCTGAGAGCAAGCAGATTAATTGCTGTGCTCCAGGCCTGGGGAGGATAAAGGTGCATTGACTGCTGGAAGCTATAGATCGAGCTTTACTCACCATCTTGCTAACATACAGATTGAAAGTGAGAAGAGTTTTGATACATATATGCCTGTGTGTAAATCATATCTGTGCACCTGTCAGAACGTGAGGTTTGATCCACAGTTGCCAACTTTCATGCGGTAAATAAGCACCCCGACTTTCACAAGAAGCCAAAAATCAAGCGAATCCCTTTTCAAAGCAAGGCCAAAACAAGCCAGTCCCTAAGAACTCCCACACGCTGTGACTAGATTCCCCCGGCATGCAGTCTGGGACTGGTGGGCCCCCTGTGCTCTCTGCCCCTGCTTGCCCCTTGCCACTGCTTGCCAGGAGCCGATCAAAAACAAGAAGCAACAAGCTACAAGTCAAACAAAGCTACAAGCCAAAAACTAGCCAACAAGCAACTCACAAGCCAATTAAGCCAAAAACAAGTCCAATTTTTGTGTTTTTTTCCCCCCGTGGGTTTGGCATGTCTGGTTGGTCCCAGCAGTACCTTTGTCGTAATAGCAGCTGGTTTAAGCTGCTTTGTTCAAGCAGTTTAAATAGTATACAGGTTTTGAGCCTCCCACATATTTTAAGGTAACCTTAATCTGTTGGTTTCTAATCTGACCCTTCTCTTCTGGGAA